AAGAGGCTGCAGTGATGTCACCTCTGGCTTTCATTTCTGTCGTTGCTTCTTTCTGTTTCTCAGAGGAGTGGCAGCTGTTTGGGGCTGTGATTGATGAACAGCCTCCCACTGCTGTGGGTGCTGAAGCGCAGATCAGGATTGTTGTGAGTGGTGCTGTGTCTGATGCAGAACCACAAAAGGATTGGAAGAAAACCCAAACCTTTCATGCTGTAGTGAAAAGCCAAAGAAGGATTCACAAATGGCTTTTGCTGTTAGATGGGGTGATTTGTGCTGGGAGCGAAAGCCTGATGTGTTGCAAGAATGGAGCAGCAGCAGAATGTGTACATCAGAGTGTGTGAACTGCCCTGCAACCCTGACTGGATGCTGGCATATTAGCAAAAATAAATGAAAAGATAAATACACTGTCTTGTGGGGAAAAAAAATCACTGAAAGTTTGTCATGGTCTGTGAGCAGCTTTTGTTTTCTGTGCTGGTCAGTCATCTAGCCTTGGCATTTAAGTTTTTAGAGGGCTGAAGAACTTTTAGGTATTTTAAGCTTCATTTCTCTGATGCTTGGAGCATGACTTGTTTCAGAAAGCCTGGGCTGCAGTATTTGTCATTCTCTTTCAAAGCATGTCAGACCTGCAGTAAGCACACCCAGAATCATGCCTGGCTAAATTATTTTGCAGATTCCTTTTCCATCCTTAACCTGAACCCCTGCCCCCACCAGGCAGCTGTTTTGCCTGAATAATTGCATTTCTGCAGAATTCTCTTTTTCAGAGGGGAAAAAGAAAGAAAAAAAAAAAAAAAAAAAGCGTGTAGCAGAGTTCCACAGATTGTGAAAATGATCAGGTGAAAAATACACAACAAGATTCAGCAGTGTAAGTAATTCTCATTGCCAGCAGTTGTGTGTTGTCAGCTGGGAGCTTGCAACAAGTCTGCATGATGGGCAGAGGAGGGAACAAAGGCTTAGCAGAGTGCTGGAACCTGCGGCTTTCTGTCGCAAGGTGACCCAGCAAAGCACGAGAGCCCGTGCTGTCTGTGAGCAGCAGACTTTTCCGATTCCTCCCCTTGTTTCTTAAAACATTCTTTCAGTGTTGATTCATTAGAAACCTCTCCAGTCATTTTCTCTTTCTCAGCAATTTCTTTTATTAATTGAAATTGCAGCTGAAATGTCAATCTGACTTAAACAGAAACAGTTTATAAGTGGAAAACTTTCAGGATACTAGTCATTCTAGGAACTCTGGTGTGGTTAATTAAGTGATGCCAGGGGGAATTCTACTTTAATAAGAATAGTCAGTAGTGGAGCTCTTCAGTGGTACAGAATGTTGTCCGGAAGCATTGGGCCTTGCATGCAGTGCTGTTGGAGTTGCAGGTTGCCTGCCCATTCTTCTTGCCTCTAGCTGTGCCCCTCTGTTCTGGGAGCCAAAATCAGGACCTGTAACAAGCACTTTCTGGGCTCAGTGTTTCTCTCTATATTCTACAATTAAGAAAGGGAGAATTTGGCTGCAGTGTTAGAATTCCACTTCTTGGGCTGTGGTGCAGTGAGGCACACCCTGTCCTCTTCTAGATGGGAATTGCATGGAATTCCCAGAAAAACACTAAAAACAGGTTGCTGCTGTCACCAGCTGTATCTTAGTGAGGCCAGAGAGGGACATGCCCCTAGCTGTCCTTACAGGAACTTGTCTGAGGAGGTACAGAGCTGCTGCAAGGAGGAGCCCATGTTGTGTTTCCTGACTTTGTCCTGCTGGCTACTTGTGGATGCAGAGAAGAATGACAGAGCTGCAATCCATACTCTGCTTCAGAAGCTGCAGAAGAGTGGGATGTCCCTGTCTGCCTGGGGATGAGAGGAGTGGTGTGGGAAAGCTGGGATTTGGGTGGGACCTGGACAGGTCATCAGACCTCCAGCTCCTTCCATCTCAGGACAGATCAGCTGGACCCAGATGATGTGTGTCATGCTGCCATTGAGAGGGAAGTAACTTGTTTCTATGAGGCAGCCGCTTCCACCTTCTTCTGCCAAGTGATGGCTGTTCTGATAGGATGGGATGGGATCACAGAATCACAGAATGGCTTGGGTTGGAAGGGACCTCAACAATCATCAAGATCCAATGTCCCACCCAGGCAGGGCCACCACCCTCCAGATCTGGTCCTAGACCAGGCTGCCCAGGTGATCACAGAATGGCCTGGGTTGGAAGGGACCTCAAGGATCATGAAGCTCCAACCCCCATGGTGGCCACAGGCAGGGCCACCAACCTCCACATTCAATACCAGCCCAGGCTGCCCAGGGCCCCATCCAGTCTGGATCTTGAATACTTCCAGGGATGGGGCATCCACAACCTTTCTAGGCAGTCTGTTCTAGCACCTCACCACTCTTTCTGTGAAGTGCTTCCCCCTGACATCCAATCTAAACCTTCCCTCCAAGGGATGGGATGGGATGGCTTGGGATGGCATGGGATGGCATGGGATGGGGAGATTTAGGTGTGACCAGTCCCAGGCTCAGAGTTGAACATACTAATTCCCTCTAACAAAGGTTGCCATTGGCCATGTCAGTTTATTTTAAGGGCTTTCCCTGGCAGCAGAGCTGGGAAACAAATCCACCTGAGCACATTCAGAGCACAGAGGCTGTCACAGGAAGGGCTACTGGCCCCTCCTACTGGGTTTATTATGGGAGCTGTGTACCAACAGATGTTCTAGTCATTTTTGCAATTTGTATAGAACACTTTTTGTTTCAGAACTGGCATATTACCTCAGGATATTTGCTCTGCGAGTATAGAAGTTTTAGGTTCACCTTGGAATATTTCCATTTCCTCAGGGCTTTGCGGTGCTTTTTTTAAAGTGAAAAAACTGCTGGTTTGAGAAGAAGCACACCCTGTGATATATCTTGCCTGTAACGCTTCGTGCCCGTCACAGTGTGCCAAATAAAGGGCATATGCCATCAATGCTGATAGGCCACGTCTAGCCTTTCTTCCTTTTTCACACTGCTAAAATCGTCTTTTTCCATTAAAATCAAGCATGGACAGAGCAGCTCCATGCTGGGAATCGTTAAGCGGTGTTTAAATAGACACTTATCACACCTGGGAGGCAGGAGGCACCAGGCTCACACCTGGCACTGAGCGTGCTGGGAGGCACGTGGGGCTCCAGCTCTCCACGCCTGCTGGGGCAGGCAGTGCTGGGCAGTGGGCTGGGAGCAGAAGGCAGGCGGCTCCCGGCTTGGCCTGCGGTGCAACGAGAGACAGGCCTGGAGCCGTCTGATGCATCACTCACTGGTGGAGTCTGAAGCTTCCTAGAGACGACGATCGGTGCCCTGGGATGCACAGATTGCTGTGGATATCCACTGCTCCTCATCTTCTGGATGTTCGAGCTGGCTGTGCGTAATCTGTAAGCGTCAGCACGTGCTCAGTGGCCAGCTGTGGGACCCGAGATCATAGAGAATGCCAGGATAATGAAAGATTCTGTGGAACGTCTTCAGGATAAACATACTGATTTTCTTTCCATTTTTGTCTTTTGGTAGTTGAGAAACGCAGACACAAGTACAGCCCTTAAACTTTTTCTTGCCGTGTCCTGATGTTTCAAAAGGACTTGTAATTTTGGCTCTTGGAAACAATGTGAAGGCATCTGATTTTCAGTGGCTGGGAATGCTGCTCTTCCTGAATAATCAGGCTCTTTTGACGCATCTTAAATTGGGCACTGGAGTAATGGATAGGCAGATACAAGAAGTTGACTTAGCACAGCTCCGTGGGGGTTTAGGCAAAGATGCTTAAACACACAGCTCTGATATGCTCTGATATGCACGCAGCCAGTTATCATTGCTGAGCAGACAAGAGGCCCTGATTAAGGCACAGAAAGTCTGGCATATGAGACCATTAGCCCATGTTCAGCCAAGTGATGCGCTCCAGATGGGCAGCCCTCTTTGGAAAGTGTAAGTCTGTTCTTCTTTGAGTGTCAGAAGAGTCTCCTGCTGGCACTAAGAATGAGTGGCATGATAAAACATTCCTTCTAGCTACAGTAAAATGCATTACTTGGATTTTCCCCATTTGATACGAGTCCTGGGAGGTTCAACAGTAGTCTCCATTGACATGAGATGAAGCCTGTGCTCCCATGTAGGGTGGTGACACTACAGCTGCTTTTGTGACCCAAACTACCTATGCTGGGTAAAAAGAAAAAGTGGATGCAGAAGCAGCTGTATTTGCACGCTAGGAAATGGGGTGGTTGTCTTGAATTTCCTGGCTTATTTTTTTTCCTTTGTCTTCCTCAGGCAGACAACCATCTGTCCTGGCATAAACACTGCAGTCTTTGACTAGCTAGTACAGCTAAAGCCATAGCCAGACAGAAAGCCATGTAAATGTTGAATTCTTGGAAAGAAAAGGAAAATGATTAATTTCCAAGTGTTATTTTCTTCCTTTTGAAAGTGTTCTTGAAGAGCTGAAAGGGAGAGTTCTTTCCTGCATTACTTTGCCAAAAGCCTGTTGAAGTGTTGTTGGTGCTTACTGGCACATATCACCTGGGGATGTTTAAAAGCCCTCTGAGCAGCTTTCCAAGCCTTCATTAACATTTGATTTCTATCCAAGCGAGGAAAAAATTACCACTGTCCTTTCTTTGCAGGTGGGTAGGCAGCAGTGAGCAGCTTTGGTGATTTACCTGCCTTTTAGGGCACGCTCTCCAGTCCTTGTAGGAATTCCAGGAGTCTGACAAACCATCTTTACAAAGTCATCTTTTTCTTTTCTTTCTTTTCCTTAATAACCAATTTGACAAGTCTGTACATTGTCACAATTTCCATACCCTCTCATTGCTCGCATAGTATCTTTCTGGGAAAAATGAAATGAAGCATAACCTCAAAGTTTCCTTTCACAGCAATTTCCTCCTAGCTGCAAATCCACATTGGTGTTTTTCCTCCATTTTATAGTTGCACACTTTCCCCCCCCCCCCCCACAGTTTTAGGTGGAGAGATTCATCAAGTGCTGGGTTTTCTCACACAGCAGCTGTGTCAATGCCTCTAACCATCTCTCTTCTTGTGGTCCTCAGGCAACCCACTGACTGTGGCCTGCAAAGCTTTCTTTGGGTTCAGTGGTGAATCTGGCCCCATGATCTACTGGATGAAAGGGGAAAAATTCATAGAAGAATTAGAAGGTCACATTAGAGAAGGTGAAATCAGGTACTTTTTGGAGTGCTTAGTTTTAGAAATGTGGTACGTCCCAAAAGCCTGTTTGTGGTTTGTTTTCAGAACACATTTGTAATTGGAATTGGAAACAGTTCTGCATCTAAAGACTGATAAATGACTTGGAGGCAGGGCAGCATGAGATACACTCTCTCCAGCAAATAAACTTTTAAGACAAAAGAGCTACTTAGGTGCCCGAAAATCTGTCACCACGTTCCCCTGGCAGTAGCTGAAACATCTCTTGTTAAAAACCCAAAACAACTTTGGCTTATCATAGAGAATTTTGGTGTCTGTTGCTGTTAATGTAAAGTGTGAAGGTCTCCAGAAGAGGCAATTTCCATCCAGCACAAGCAGCATGCTGATTAATTACCTGTTTTCCCTTGTGCCTCCCACCTGTCTCTGGAGAAGAGATTTCATTTTGGTAAATAGAATAAAACTAAATTAAATTAAATAAAAACGAAATAGTTGTATCTGTAAAGCCACGTCAGACTGCCAGCAGAGCTATGTGCAAGGTTGAGTTCACAGGCCTCGGACTGTGAGGGCATCGTGCATGCTATGTTTATCGCCTGCTGTATTTTGCAGCAGAATACTAACAGGATCAAATAAACCTGGCAGACTACACATGACGTTACATTTCCTTGTTCAAAGGGCCAGTCACTTTCTTGAGCAACTGATAAGAAACCTTTCACAAAAAGAAGGGCATTTTATTTTTAGACTTATGGCGTCACCGAGAAAAACTTGCATTTATGTTGCATTATTTGTCACGTTCATGTTAGAACAATGACATGAAAAGGCTGTACCTCTGGCCTCACTACAACTTTCTTTTTCCTTTGTTGAGATTTTGTTTGTTCATTCTGTCTTTTCGAGTTCTTGTTCTTGATACTGTCACCTTTAAAAGTTAGGATCTGCACCAAAAAAACAAAGAGGAAAATTCCAGAAGGTTGCATCTTTCCTTTCAGACTCCTCAGAGAACATCTTGGAGAAAAAGAAGTTGAATTGACATTGATCTTTGATGCTGTCGAGGAGGCAGATCTGGCTAACTATACATGTCATGTGGAAAACAGAAACGGACGGAAACATGCCAGCATCCTTCTGCGCAAGAAAGGTAATGCCCTTAATTTTATTAGCCATGCTCCCTCTTGCCTCTGCAGCCATGGGTGAGCCAGCAGCGGAGGTCCTGCTAATCTGGCTGAGTCAAGCTGAGCTCTGTGCTTGCTGGAGCTGAAGTATGGTTGTGTTATGGCTTCAGTTTACTATTTATGGGGGAAAAAGTCACAAACTACCACTAGCGAATCAGCCTCACGGTTGATGCACTTGCCTGGGACACAGCGACCTGTAAAGCCCTACAAAATTCAGTGCATGTGTTTTGGGCAAACAATTCATGAAACTGACCGAGAGTAGACAGATTAGACTAGAGGTAAGAGTGTTAAAGACATAGTTAAAATGTGCATTTGTTAGATTAGGTACCTCAAAACAAGGCCAGATGTTGTCATACTTTTCCACTTCCTAGCTGTGTTTAAACTGAAATCTTTAAATATTGCCACACATTTTGATTCCTAAATGCAAAGAGGAATGAAGACTTTGCAGTGGGAGCTATAGATGGATGGAGAATCATTACTTCTTTTCATGTTACCTGTCCTGAGATTGTGCCTAGAACTGGGACTACTACTGACAATTTGTCTGTAGAATAGGAACCCTTTGAGTTTGAATGCTCCAAACTACAAGGTGCTACTATTCTCTTCCATTTGTAGTCATTATTATAAGGCATGCAACAGTATCCCATTACAGTTCTTACCTGCTTAGTTCAGTTACCTCCTCTAACTGTTAGTACAGTGATATTTGAACTTGTTTGTGGTCTCTTTAAGGCAGAGTGAGTACAAAAGCTGTTGAGAGAGCAAGGAAATGTTGCATGTTAGTGCAGTTAAAAAAAGCAGTGCTCTCCATCATCACCCTAGCAGGGATATCTGCACAGATATCCCCTTTTCAAGAAGGTTTAAATAGACCATTGTTATGTGAGCATGCTGCAGGCTGAACTTAGGGTTAGAGGCCACCATGTCACTAATGAACTAAGAGCAGGTGACAGAACAGGAAGACCAGCCAAGGTATCTGTAAGTGGGGTTGTGACCAGGTCCACCAGCACCTTGTTCCAGAAGACAACCCTAGCCACTAGGTTCACCTAGAGCCGTGCTGAATGCTAACTGCTGTGCTTCATGGCCATAATTTATGCCTTCAGATAATTTGTATAAAATCAACAGTGAGGGAGAAGTGGTATAGCTTCAAAAAAGGTCTAGTGGGAAGAAGAAATGTTGGAGTCACTGTCCCATTTTTACTATTCTTTCCTGTGACCCACAGGTTGTACGTATGAAAGTACATTACTGAGTCCTGACAAAATTGGATCAATTCTGCTTAAACCGTTTCCTGTTCATGCAGGAGTTTATGCCCTCCCAGAAAGAAGAGTGTGACATAGAGTCATCAAATCATAGGGCTTGGAAGAGACCTCTGAAGCTCCCCTAGTCCAACCCTATATGAAAGCAGTCCCTTCCAGCAGTTGCCCAGAAAGCATGCAGGCAGGTTTTTAAGGTCTTCAGGGAAGGAGACTCCACTGCCTCTCACTGGCTGTGCTTTATGCTCAGGATAGAAACACATGAGCTGCAAAACCATTCTGAAAAACAGGGGCCCGCTGCTGTGATGCAGAACGCACACAAATGTTTATTCAACATCTCAATTGACGGAATGTCACAACTTTAATTAAGGAAGCTGGTCATCATGATGAAGGATTAGTCTCGTTAGTGCAGAAAGCGTTCTACCTTCCCATCCACTGAACCTAATAAATATACAACTGATATCTTTGTTGACACTGTTAAATGTTCAGCTGTGTTGCATATATTAGAATAACAAGCTGGGTTTATTTATAACAAGAAAATGCAGACATTTCAGACCTCTGCTGAAATTATGGAAGAAGCACTGCTGAATACTGAATTCGGAGGTGGACAGAATCACTTCTCAGCTGCTATTTCATTTCTCCATTCCCCTCAGGCATTTTAAGTGGTTTGTTTTGAAGCTATTAAAGTGTCATTTAAAATATCCCCAGTATTTTCACTTTGTGCTTTGACTACATATCCTGTTGTCACGGTTTTATTAAATTCTTACTAGCACTTGACCAAACTTTTCCCTTCTGCACCTTGATATAATACTTCTTATTCTAGCTTTCTCCTGCTTGGATTTGGTTGTAGAGCATTCATAAGCTAGGCAGCACTACATCATTACTCACCTGTGGCAAGAGTTAGGCCAGGACTGGTAGAAGGCTGTTTACCAGTACCCTGTATGTGTGTCAGAGGATCATGGATTCCTATTATAACGTGCCTCAGTTTTTCAGAAGCTGGGAACAACATTTGGGAACAACGAGAGAAGCACAGATCTCTTTCAGAGAAACACACCTCCCCCAAAGTCCAACCTGCTTGGGGCTGCCTTATCCCTGTTCAACAGGAGGTGCTTTAGCTCGGTTTTGTCTCCAGCTTGCCACAGTACTACAGGTTTTATCAGGTCTCAGGAGTGACTGCAGCACTTCAGGGGTACCCGAGATGGCATCGGTCGTGAGTACTGCTAAATGAGGGAGGTTGGAATTAAAAACAAAAAAAAAAACTAACTAAAAACAGAGATAAAAGCCAGAAAGTCAGATCCAAGTTAAAGCTCTGGAGTTCTTTGAGGAAGAAAAAGGAATTGCACAAATATTTAAGGTACAAATATTGAAGTCTTTTGCTAACTAGTGGGACAGACCTCACAAATGCTTTCTTAGAATGCAGGAGTGCCTTCTGTACAACATTAGTGTTTTGATAACCTTGCAGAGTCTATCACCACTTGAGATTTTCATTTTTGACTGAAAAAGGAACCAAATCCAGCTTCAGACCCCTAGACCTAACAGTGAAAAGGCAGAATTAGGCATGCTGCTGAGACCTGGATACCACTTTCTGTTATTACATTCTTCTTCACTGACTTCATTTGAGACACATTGTTCTTCACATTGAAGTAGCTCAAATATAAATTCACATATAAATTCTGGGCAGTCCTGGCTTTGTTTTTGTTTTTGTTTTTTTTCCCATGTTTGAATTACCTGCAGTAACAGTATACACTCACTTAATCCTTAGACGTGGAAATAGCTTGGGATTCCCTTCAAATTAATTTGAAAAGCATGTTTTCCTAATTGAAGTCACAATGCACTATAGAACAACTGTCTTGGAAAGAGAATAAGTTATCAGGAAATGCAGTGCAAAATCAAGCAGCACTCCTAGTGAAAGAAGCTGTGAATTTAGGTAAAAGTAAATATTACAGCTATGTTGGCTCAGCTTTTACTTTCCAGGAGACTGCGTTTGTTCAAGACATACAGGAACAATATTGATGTATTATTAAATGCTGAAGGACCTTCTGAAGTGTCTTGGTCTCAAGCCACTCATGAGGTGTAGTAAAGATTCAAATTATTTTAAAGATTATAATCCGCTGCATCATAGGCTGTGCCTCGGTCTTTCTGTATTATTTTATGTTAGAACCCACCTGAATATTATTATTCACTAGGTTTCAGTTGCTGTTAAAGCAAAAGTTCAGCTTCTATGACTTTCCTGGTATTGTGTTTACTCGACTGCCTTTCCCACCAATCTCAGTGAGGACAACTCAGGGGCAAAGAGTAAGAGCTGGAGTAGGCAAGAAAACTGAGCTTTTGGGGGTTTCCTCCATTACCTCTGCCTTGGAATGCAGATAAGGAGACCAAAAGGTAAGTTTGGAGCCTAGGAGAGGTAAAGGAGATGCAAAAGCAGATTGATTTGCGTTTTGAGTTGCAGGTTGTGTTTTTGCTCAGTATCCTGCCCTCGCCCTGGCAATTGTGTGCAAGTCTGAGCTGCACGTGATCTTCAGGACACAGCATGGCCAACAAGCCTAGCTCTTCTGGTGGTGTAGGCAGGCCACTGCCATGGATGGGCTGTTTATTCAGTTCTCTACCATGCAGCGGCTTCAAATGCTGTTGAAGCAAGCAAGTAAAACCAAAAGAAGTCTGACACTGTGCAGCATAAGGTGCTGAGGGATTTGTCAAGTGCTTTCCTACAGGCTTTCATTGTCCAGCAATTGGGATACAGCTGCAGTATGGATCAGAGAACACAACAGGCTTAGTATAGGGACTTTATTCTGCAAGGTAGCACAGATCAACTTCAGTTATCAGAACTGAATGGCCTTCAGCAATTTCTCTCCTTCCAACCTGGCAGTTTTGCCATCATCCCAATTTCCTGGTAGAAAAGTTTTAGTACAATAAGAAAGATTATTTTTTTTTTCACTGAAAAGTAATTTTAACCAACTCTTTTCTTCATTTGACCAGATTTATCCCCAAGCACATGCCAACTTTATTTTGCAGTGTAATAAAAGTCCCAGAAATTCCCTGTTCTCAGAGAGATTAAATAGCTATTGTAATAGGCTTCTTCCTTCTATTAGCTCAGGACTTCTCACCAGACATCAGAGATACTGCAGACTGGGAATAACTTGTCATCTGATGTTAATTATTGAAACACAAGGCATGGAAAGGCAAGACTAACCCCAAAAGATATCCAACTAATTTGCTTTCTATCTTGAAAATGACACGAATGACATACCAGTAATTTCTTCTGACGTGTGTTTTAGAAGCTTAAAGATCTCAAAAACTTTTTCCCTCCTGCATTTAGGATCATCCTATTGTATTTACAGCAGCATATCTTTGTACTGTGTTTATCACAGTGTATCTTCATGTCATCTTATCTGAACTGATACAGATTGCTGGGGGTAGCTGTTGTCAAATTTCTGTCCTTTGTCCTTTATGGTGATGTAATACGCCAAGAGGTGGCATGAGCAATATTGCATTCTGAGGATATTTCAGGCTAAGGTACAACACTGTTAAATCTAGCATCTTACGTCAGGTGAAGCACTGGAGTGCTACCCAAGGTTTTTTATCTTGCTCTGGCATTGGCTTGCTAAATGACATTGGACATGCTGCTTCGCTTTTCCATGCCTGTTTCCTCAGCTGTAAAAGATGGATAATTGCATTTCAATGAATTTGTGAAGTACTTTCAGATAGCCTGCTTGTGATGTTTCCTAACAAAAGTATCCCAGTCAGAAATCTGAGCTAGTGCTAGTTTCCACTACAGTATAATGTGTACTAAGCAATCATGTAAGACCTCTGTTAGTCACAGCTCAATCAAAGTGGCTCTTAGCAGCCTGATGTGTGCTTTCTGCTTCTCACATTGTTTTGGGCATTTTGGATGCTGATTCATCTACCAGTGACTCAGCTGAAGCTTTGGCTGAGCAACAGACATCAGCTCATCCACTGGCACCACAGCCATAAAGCTAAAGTTAATGTTATTTGGAGAGCTGGGGTCCCAAATGGGGTACAACATGCCTAGTAAGCCTATTCTCACATGCAGCATACAACATTTGATGCTCTCCTACAAAGTGGAAGTTTCAAACAAGTTCATTAAAGGTTGATTAATCCTCAGTATCAAATCACTGCCTAGTTCCCTTCTAGAATTATCACTATAGCCTCAAATGCATTCTGTCTGAAATTTCGGACAGACAGTAGAATGATGGAAGTTAAATAATGGGCTAAGAACAAAAATAAGACATCCTTAATGTTACAGTGGTTATAACAGGAAGTTGTGCAATTCCATGTGGAATTGTACAGTGGATTACAGCAATTAGAGCTTCGAAAGATCATAACCTTTCTGTCTTTTCTTGCTAATTTTAGATTTGATCTACAAAATAGAACTTGCTGGAGGATTGGGAGCCATCCTTCTTCTGCTTATTTTGCTTGTGACCATCTATAAGTGTTACAACATAGAGTTAATGCTGTTCTACAGACAAAACTTTGGAGGAGATGAAGCAGCAGACGGTAAGAAGTTGCTTATACATACAATGGAATATTTACAATGGAAATACTTGAGAGGTCCAAAGTGATGAAATTTCTAGTTTAAGTTCAAACTGCTAAGCACTCAACAGTGTAAATCTCTAACACTTTCTCGCTAAGCCTGCTTAAATCAATGAATCTGTTCACTGAAGTGTCACAGGTCTATTCCGTATGAAGAGGAATAGGAAGAATTCTTCAGGAGTGTATAATAGAGGTTTGAATGTCATTTTTGAACTGATCTCTCGGGAAAACTCTGTGTTTGCATGTCCCAGTGCCCAGCATCTCTTCTTTTGCTATCCATACTGTATGTTGACATAAATTCACCAGGTATCTTCCACTAAACTTTTCTGTTACACTGTTATCAGCCAACTACCTCTAGGAGTTAGTGAGTCAATTGTTATTGAGGTTAACTAGTTACCTCTGTTAATTGAGAATATGAAACATAATGCAAATACACAGCTGCATAGCTTGCCTGTAGAGTATGTTTAAGAATAGCAAGGGGTGTTTTGCACTTCCTCCCTCCATCCCCCGCTTCAGTAGGCATGTGGTTTCTTTAATGCTTAAAGCTAAAGCTGTTTTTCAAATTGAAGCTTTAATTCCTCTGAATGTAGAACATTCCCTGCTCCTATGAAGCTTGAATAAGCATTGGTGAACTCAGTCCAAGTGCTTTAAATCATATCATCATATTGTTAGTGTTTATAATGTGCACACTGATTGTATATTATGTATTAAAAATAGTACCTGCTGAAGATCCCAGGTGTAGTGATCAAATAAAGCTACTGCAGCACTTACAAGTCACGTAGGCAGTCTGTAATGGTATCTTCAGAAACAATAACATATTTGAAAGAGGAGCAGGAATCACATTACCCCCATTGTGCAAAAACAATGTGCGTTTGCACAGGCCTTTTGCTTTCTGCAGCCAGCATCACCACTATCAAAATAATGAAGCGTTCTGTTAAGCACTGGGTTGATAAGCCATGAAAAAGTTGGCTACAATGAAATCCATAGGAGTGTTGGAGGATGGGTGGAATGACATCCAACGGATTATAGAACGTGGTATGATAAATAGCAGGAACAGAGGTCAGGAAACTTCCTTTCTCAAGCTTTGTGTGAGTGGGAAAACCTGAAATTGTTGCGCTTTTCTTTCGTACAATGCAGGGAAATATTTATATTGATAGAGAGGAGAAAACAAAGAGTAAGACTGAATGGTTTTAGAGGTGACTTGTATCTAATACTTTGGGATTATACCAATGTGATTTCCCTGTTTGACACCAACCAAAAATGACCCAAAGTAGTAACTTTCCTCCAGAATGAAAGTATTCTGCTCCCTTTTTTTCCAAAGTTAAGCTGCCACATTTTTGTTGATGTAGCTTTTTTTCTTCTGTTACTTTTTAATTTATGAAACATTGCTATTTTTCACTTGTTTAGACCAACCCCGTGATACTTAGAGGATTCTGTGTGCATGTTAGTTCTGGGATCGATCTCTTGCTTTTCGTACATCATTTTAGAACTATTGCAGCCGTGCGTCTTATTCTGATCCTGCACTATGAAAGATGAAGGCAGAATGCTGCTGAAGTCAAAGTGTGTATAAGGGTGTTTCGGTGATTCATTCTACTTCTTCTCGCTACGGAGTGAGCCTACAGAGGTTCTGTGAGCCATCATCTGTGTAGGTGCAATGGCATACATCCCACTTGTATGTGCATTTCTTTAAAACAAAAGACATGAAACCTAACAGATTTTTTAACCCTATTTCTAAAAATAGCCATGTAGGCTATGCTGGATGCATTTACTTCCTGTGTTGTACATAGCTTTGTTTTTAGACAAAACATTCTGGCAATAGTGAAGATTAAGGGAAGCCATTTAGAAAATAACCTCAACAACACTGCTTCCAAAGCACACAGAGGAAGCAGTGGGCAAGCATGGGTCCTTCTGCTAAAATCCAGTGTATGTGAAGCTTGTGAGGAGGGAGCCAAGGCTGCGGAGATATAACACAAGCATATGGGCTCACAGGAGGCCCAGGGGAACTCCTCTTGCTTGTTTGCATTGTGAATAGAGGAGACGAGGGAGCGCTCCCACGCAGCTGGAAGGAGCAGGACTCAGCTCAGAGTCTGCACGCACACCATTCCCAGCCCATACCTTCCTGTCTGTGTGTGCAGAGTTTCCAGGCTGCTTTGTAACCAAGCACATCAGTGCTCCAGGGTTTGCTTTGCTGCCTTGCAGAGCTTTCAAGTATTTTCAGGGATGTCTGCCCCCTGTATCTCGTGGTCGCTGGCTTCTCTTGAAAGTTTTCAACAAGTTTCATTATGGACAGGATAGCGTGTTTTGGATGGGCCTCCAAAGCTGACTGGCCTTTTTTTGTTTGCTGTTTATTCTTCTGTCATCTTTCCTTCAGCAATTACTATTTTTGTAAACTGATGATTTCAGAGAAATATGAGCAAGCCAGGTGGACCTCCTCCCTTACAGCTCCAATGGCACTAGGCAAATTGCCTTTTACAGACATACAGTTATTCACATGCTTCGTCTGTAGCTCTGACCATCGTGAGTCTGGCTTTGCGTCAACAATCGTAAGAAAGAACCATAATTTTAAAGTCATCAAATGTTTTGCGTTATGATTAGCTATTTTTTCTTCTTATTGGAAAATGTTGGTGAGTTTTAACTGCTTTCATTATATTTGATGTGCACAATTCTTTACACATAATTGGTGCTCAGCAATCCTCCATTTATTCAGTTTTGTCCTCACAACATTAACTATTTGATTTTTCATTTTCTGTAAATAATGGCAGCTGTACTCTTTGCCCAAGACTGAATTGCTCCAGGTTGACTTTCAGTGCACTATTTTCCATTACCACAGGGCAGTAACTAAGGCAAATGTTGCTAAGACAGTTTGATCCCAGGCTCAGTAGCGGTGCCACTTCTGTTCTCGGTACGCTTGGCCAAGCTCTCAGCTCTGTGTGTCAGATGCAGAGAGCTGAAGATTACCGCAGTGCTCTGCAGGAGGAAGTAATTATGTTGTCCCTTCTAGCCAAGCCTCTGTTCGCAGCCTTGCTATGCTTGCAAGGCATTGCTCGGGGTCCCTTCTGTCACCCACTTCCTGCCTCTGCCTTTTGATGAAGCAGCAAAGCTTTCCCTGCACCCCACAGCTGCAGGTACCACAGTGCAGGAGCAATCCCTCCTGCTCCTGGAGTTATTCCTAGTTCTGATGTTGTAAGCCCCATGTATGTAAATCATTCTGGGTTAAGTGACCTCTAAAATTATATCAGTTTTAAAAACAGGGAAAAGAGATCTGAAACAATGCTTTAGGTTGTTAGTGCTTGACACTGTTTTCTGCACAGTGAGTATTCACTTAAGTCATGCATTTCTTACATTTATTTGTAGAAAAAAGTTCTCCCGTGAGAGCTCAGAACTTTCCCATAATCATAGCACTTAGGAGTTAAAAGAGAAATTTCCATGTAGGTTTGGGTGCCACAACATAAGAAAGACATAAAACTCTTACAGAGCATCCAGAGGAGGGACTGGAAGATTGGGAAGGCAAGAGGGGTGAGGAGCAGCTGAGGCCCCTGGGTTTGTTGGGCCCAGAGCAGAGGAGCTGAGGGGAGCCTGATGGCGGCTGCAGCTCCTCACAGGGAGCGGAGGGCAGCGCCGAGCTCTGCTCTGTGTGGCAGCGATGGGCTGAGGGGACGGCATGGAGCTGCATCAGGGGAGGGCTGGGTGAGGGCAAGGGACAGGTTCTGCACCAGAGGGTTGTGCACATGGAGCAGCTCTCCAGAGCCCTGGGACACTGCTCTCAGCAGCAGGGTTGGGTTTGAGTCAGTGCTCTGTGGGCTCTGTGGGCTGGGAGACAGGGGCTGAGCTCGGCTTGTGTGTCTCTTCCAACTCGGGATGCTCTGTGATTCCATGATCATTAATAGGAATAATGCAGTTTTCTAGAACTGCTGTGTGCTTTTTGTCTCGTTCTTGCAGACAGCAGGCTGAGTGTGAGTTTGTTTCCTTACAGATAACAAGGAATATGATGCGTATCTTTCATACACCAAAGTGGATCCTGATGCACTGGATTGTGATAATAATGAAGAGGAGCAGTTTGCACTAGAAATTCTGCCGGATGTTCTAGAAAAGCACTATGGATATAAGCTCTTCATTCCAGATAGGGACCTCATCCCTAGTGGAAGTAAGTATTTCTGACCTTCAAGTTTTAATATAATTTCTGATGCTTTACGAAGGCCTGGTCTGTGCAACAAGGGCTTGGTACAAAAACTTCTCTCTGTGAAGCAGTTTTAGGGAGTGGATAAGTCTCCCTGCTGCTACAGATTTGAACTCTAGGTTAGAGGCAGTTCCTGCACCACTGAAACCAGAGGGAGCTGTTATTGATTTCAGTGGAGGCAGAAGCCAGACCTTTCTACAGAGGAATTTGCAGTGCTGCAAGCAATGCTGTAATCTAAAATTTCTGTCAGACTCAGTCACCTAAAAATGCAACTCCCCAGAAAGATTTTGTAGTCTCTGTATAATCATTGAAAACGGGTTTTTTTTTGGAAGTAATTTCTTTTTTGTCTGTCTTTTTTCCCTTACTTTGAAGTCTCATAAATAGCTACATTAATTTCCCTATCAATGCCATACATGCAGTTTTTCATTAGAGTTTTGACCAAACGTTGCATTTCTGAGCAGGATTGTTACTGTGTAGTACTGATTCTTCAGACAGCTCTGTACAGTCCTGCAACCTGATGGCCATCTTCCACTCTGACAGTGTAATACAGATGTCCATTTCAATCAGTTTCACTGGCATGTCTGAACATTCAGCGGCGTCCTTAACACTTAATCAACACTTGATGCTTTCTTAGCTGTGTTTATAGCATCTCATCTTCCTGATTCATTTTTGGATAAATCAAATGCACTGTGTCGATGAATGCATAGTAGGTTTGTTTAGTATCTATTTATTCCTCTGAAATACTGAAATTCTACCCATCCCTTTCCTTACTTTATTGTTTTAACTAATGCTGTCTGAAAATCATTTCAATGAAAAATGCTAAAAGAGAATTCTTCTCTCTGCATGTACTACTGGATAGAAAATATGCACAAGAGAACAAAGCAGTGACAGTGCTGGAGCAGATGTCCCCAAACATGAAACAGCTACAACACGACTGCTTTAGCAGCTTGCCTGCCAAAGACTTGAAGCTGCTGCCAAACCCCAGTGCCTGCCCTAGAAGTTGGAGCCTATTTCTTCTCTGTTTGAGGGAGCTGGAAGCAGATTTCTGACTCCAGTTCCCACTGGGAGAAGTCAGAGCCTAGTCTGAGGTCAGGCACAGTCCTCTGTAGGGGCTTGAGCAGACCTTGTGCTTTTGCAGCTCCTAGGCTGGAGCTGCTTCCTCTGTTCCTTTGCTCTGTGAGGAAAGTCATGCCCTGCAAAGTATGAGTTTTACTCCATTAGTCCCCAGAAACAAAAGACAGGTTATAGAAAAAGTAGCCTTTTTATTTAAGGCAGCCCAAGCAAGCGGTACTGAATTATTAGATAATTAGGGAAAAGTACGTCTTTTTGTGTTAAAAATCACAGACCTATAGTAAATGGTTGTTTTATATCCAGCAACGAAGCAGTTAGATATTGCAATTATACAAGTTATTAAGCAGTTTAAATCTGGTCTTTTGGGGATAACTGCACTGAAGCACAAATTCATCTGAAATGAGCTTCATCTTTCCAATTGCCATACTATCCAGCATGATGTTGTATTCTTGTCTATTTTTGTCAGTCAGACACTCAGCAAATACTTGTCATCACTTTGGGTCTTCATTAAAACTCTCCTGAAAATGTAGGATACCTTAAAATGTCAATTCTCATTTATGAGCATTCACAGACTTAATACTTCTTTTTTCCTCTCAAACTCACTTCTCCAGTGTTATGAAGGGGCCTGACACCAGCATGTGAAGCTTCAAGTGTGCTTAATCAGACATAATGGCAATGCAGAATAAAATGTGGATCTGAAATGAGTGTGATTTGCATGCCTTGGCTTTGAAAAAGATGTGGGGATGACATTTTATTTTGAGAGGTGATGGAGAAGGATGGAGGAGTCGGACTCAGCTGTTTGTAAACTCTCTGTGTGCCTGTGAGAGGTGGAACGTGGCTGTTTCTTGTGCTCTATGCAATACTCACCAGTCTTACAAGGGCTTGGAGTGCATAGTGAAGAGATCAGGCACTGACCTCCCAGAAATTTTAGAGCTGAACATAACGTATTCCGATGCGACAAAATATGTGGCGCTTCAGGACAGGTTTGTACAGAATGAGGTTTTGATCCTAGTGACCTTTTTTGATTTTAGGAAATATTTCTCACATGCATTGCATTTCACTGTCTTTTCGTGTAAATGACTTCGTGATGTTATATTTTTCCACTCTCCGCCCTGATGATTCCTTATGTACCTTTTCTGAATACTTCAATGTGTGATTCCAGCAAATCAGATGTGTTTTATAAGACGGGTTGTTTTGTACAGTCTCTGCAGTGTTAAGGTGCTGCCACAGGAGGGTGTGCATTATTGGCTTGCTTCTTGGCATGAAGCAGTACATTCAGCTGCTATTCGGATTTGAGAGCTAGCAAAAAATAGGTTTGTTAAATAGTATTTCATTTATCTTTCTTGGACTCTTCCCTGAACAAACTGAAAAGCTGACTTCAGAAAATTCAGGGACAAGCTTGATTATGCTTTTGCCAGCTGGTTCATATCTAACCTCTGGGGAAAAGCCATGATAGGCTATGCATGTCCCTCTGCAGATGAAGGACAGATCAGATCCAGATGTGCCTGAGCAGGGACTCACTCACCCATCAGACTGCTCCTCTGCCAAAGGGAGACCCTGGCAGTGTCCCCACTGCGTAGCCTAGCTCGGCACTCTGGCTCAGTGCTGAGACTGTTTCAAGGTGCATATGGAGCAGCTGTTGCCAACTCAAGGACAAAGATGATGGCTGTGGAGGCCAAGGCCACCTCTTCACTCTTGGAAATGCATCACATTTGCAGTAGGCATTCGTTTCTGAGTCCTTCAAAGCTGGAATACAATTACTGTTCCTGCAGAGCAGTTTTGTTCAGCAGTTCGGAACTGCTGGGAAGGGCACTGAGGGTTGCCCACCTTGCAATGGCCAGCCAGGACCTTTGAAGTCACTCTTGGTGTTGTCTGAGAAAAAGGATCCAGCTCCTGAGCTGGCGAGGTGTAAGCAGGGCTCAGACAGCCACTACTCCTCTGCTCCGGTTCATGCAGAAGCCCACATGACCATGGAGGCTGGAGAAGAGGCAAGAGGGCAACGAGACATAGATGCAGTGTGTTTTGTAAGCAGCAAGACCAAGTTTGACATTCACTGCAGCTTTTCTTAAAGAGTTTTCTTTGCTCTTAGTAGAGAGCGCTCTTCGTTCCCTCGAAGCTGACAGCACATGGAGCTTTCTGCTTAGGCACCTGAGGCATAACTGAATGTGTTGGACCTCCATAAGGACACTATGATCACTAACAAACAGTTGCAGTAGCTATGAATTTCTTAGCTGTTATCATTTTTTCCACACTTTTTCAGGGCTTTGTTTCAACAAACCCTTTCCCACAACCAAGCAGACTCTTGAACCCCTTGAGCTTTTTAATTCAATGTTAGAAGACCTGAGGAGCCTGAATTGTTGAAAGAAAAAAATGGAAATACTTAAATTTTTACCTGAGCCATTTTCTGTCTCACTAAGGATGATGTTTCTACAAAGAGAATAATATATTTGCACTTGGCTCTTCTAAAACTGGGTCCACACCAGAGAAAGATACTTTTTTCCCGTCGTTTCTACAAATTATTTTAAACTCAGGAAGTAAAGAGGTCAAGACTGTCAATCTGTGTTTTTAATTCCAGCAACACAAATCTCTTAGAACATCATCTAGTTGCTTTCCAAACATACTTATATCTGATGTTGGCAGGATTGGAAACACACCAGCAATTTGCTCCAGCTCAGCCCAGGGTATGGAGATCAGGCACTGAAAATGAAAATCCACTTTTACTGGAAAATGAGATGTTGGCAGCACAACAAGAGAGCACCTCAGGCATGTGATAAAAAGCGCCCATCAGTCAATGTTACAGTTCTAGTTTTTTGTAGTTTTGTCTGCCTATGTGTGGTGGGTTTCTTTTTTGTTTGGTTTGGTTTTCTTTTATTGGTTGTTGTTTTTTTTTTTTCTTTTTTTGTGTGTGGGGGGGGGTTGCTGTTCTTGTGGGTTTCGATTTTTTTTTTACCTGGTGATTCCAACTTTTTGGATTCCTGGATGAAGGTGGACACATGGACAGCGTGCCTGGGGTTCCCAAGGAGCGTTCATCAGGTATGTGGCACCATTTATGTGGAATGGAAATAGAGTGCTCAGCAGCACAAAGTCCTTTCACAAGTCCCTCATTGTCTGCTCAATATGAATCTTACAGTTAATGACAAGCATGTAAAAATGAAATAGAGAGGAACGGCAGTTAAAAACGAAACAAATATGAACAAACTCCCCACCCATCTTTAGAGTCAGCCAAGACAGACTGGCCACCCTGGTTTTCTGAAGGCCATCAAGATGATCAGGAAGCTGGAGCACACAGCGTAAGACGAGAGGCCAAAAGAGCTGTGTTTCTTGAAGAAAAGAACAGCAAAGATAAAACCAAGGGGGAATCTTACTGTTCTCTTTGTGATGGAACACACAGAGAAGATGGAGCCAGGCTCTTCTCAGAGATGCACAGTTGTTAAATAAGAGAAAACAATGAAAATTCCAATTAATCATTTGTAAATATTTCCTTGCCATGAGGGTGTTCAGACACCAGAACAATACCCAAAATCACTGGAGGAGAAACTTCCATCCTTGGAGATCTTCAAAGTTTTACTGAACGAGGCCGTGAGCAATCTTACCTGTTCCTGGTTTGGGCAGAGGATTGACCCAGAGACCCCCGGATCCCACTTCTGTCTTGTGTGATTCTACAAACTTTTGATTCCAGATATCCAGAATTTTGATTCCAACATCCAGCACCACATCAGTGTCATCAAAATCATCAACTTCACCTCAGTCTGCAAGGAGACATTGCCAGAGCTGTTCTTCTGTTCCTCATCCTCAGCACTGAGAGGGTTGCGTGTCAAGCCAATCTGTGTTATTTGCTTCTTTCCATTGTATTCATGAGCTGACCCTTAGCTTAGCTGAGATTATGCTGTCTTTGGGGCAGGGCTGTCACACTTCTGTGTTCCAGCAGTACCAACTGTGTTGCTGTTCTGACTGAGGCTAACATAAACAACAAACAAATATAAAATTTGTTTGAAATAGGAATAGCAAGATGTAATTACTTTTGTTGTATTGAAGTAACCTAAGTTAGGGTTTGGTGAATATTCAGTTAAGAAGGTAGGACTGAATTATAGTTCTATAAATAATTCACCCTCAAGTAATAGTCATGTTGCCGAACACATGGTTGTTCTCAGGGCACTAGGAACCAGCATGGTTGATGGTGCATACTCTTTGGTCTTTGTGGTGCTGCAGACTACCCTGGTTAAAAACATACATAAAACATGACATAATTGCTTTTCTTTATCTCGCAACTGCTTCTGAAGATCATCTGAGTCTAGTTAGTCAGACTTTGTGTAAGCAACTCTGTGTCCATGGTGCTTATTAGTTTTCTTGATCTTGGATTGTTTGCATATTTGGTTGTCTGGGTTTACTTTTAGCTCGTGGTTAATGTAGCTCATTCAAGATTCAATAGGCAATTATGCATAATTACATTCTTCCAAATAGGATGCGTATCTTGGACTTCAGTGCTCCAAACTGCAGTTCAGCATCACTTCACCCTGAGTATCGAGTTTGTGTGTGTATTTGCTGTCAGGTCGTTTATCTTCATTAATCAGGGTAATCATGCAAAAAACCATGATTGTTCATGGGTGTGGAATTTCTTGTTCATACTTCCTTGGACATCACACTGTACGTGATGTAAGTAAGTTACTGATACAGCTACCTAAAGTGCAAGTTTTTTTGACCTGTGAGAAATGCTAACGTGAAACTGGTTTGAGAACATATTGCAAAATGGTATTTCAAGGAAAGGAGAAAAAGAAAAAAAAAAGGTTTAAAAAAGGTTAAAATGATTTAGGTGTTCTTCATTAAAATCACGTGGGTTAATTCTGATTCTGGTGTTTTATTTTTGTACTAAAGTTTATGATAAAATATACTTTTGGGGAAGAAAAGCTAACTATTCCATACCAATGGTTTTGAAGATTTTTTTTTCTCCCCTCACAATGAAATGTCATTGAAGTTGACTCTTCTTTTGAAAAGAAATGAAGTCTTAATGAGATGAGATTTACCTGGTGCAAATATGTTTGTGTGGAGTCTTGCAGTTGATGATGGTCGGTGATGTGAATCCTGAAGTCTTTTTTTAACTTCTTCATGAAAGTGAAACAGCCATTGCTTAACAATTACTTTTTAGCTCACTGGAAGGAAGAATCAACTCTCTTTCTCCGTCGCACACTGCAGCATAGCTCAACCTACAGTTTTTGGAGCAGTGTCTAATTTGGAAGTGAAGGATGATTTACTGACTCCACGATTTATACAATCAGTTTTGTTCCACTGAAGAAAATAAGGTGTGGATTTCCACAGGCCTTACTAAGACAAGAATCAGTCTTTCTTTGCTCTTCCATGCAGAAATGTTTGATGTACGTGTTGGACGTGCTGTAGAGCTTGCCCAATGGAACCACATGTTCCAGAGAAGCTGTCACTTGACCTTAGTAGTAGTCTCAGGCTGAAGTTATTGAGAGCATACAATGCTTCTGAGGCAGATGGCTGAAAAATGTATTTATTTTTCATCTGGGTCTCCATTTTTCTGTAATACAGCGTATTTCATCTTCAGTGCACCAGTAGGCTCCTGTACATTTGCTGTGTCTGTCGTTGAACCAGCTGCTGGACTTTGCAGGAGCGCCTCATGCTCATTTGTGAAGGTTTCTATTCAGTTGTCTATAGGAAGAGCTCTAAATTGTTGCACTGTCCATCAAGTAAGCTGGGCATAGCAGGGGAGAGGCACAGAGGGGAGAAGTGTCCACCCGTAAATAGGGAATTTTTCCTGTCATCTTCCCTCCTAATTTCAACTAAAGCAAAGTTTGGTGAGTTTTTGATTGAAATGATGTAATGAGTAAGGGAGGGATTGTTTCTATTGAAATTATTACTGCTGGATATTTGGAGATGTGAAAGGGAAGTGACTTTTTTTTTCTTTTTAGTTTGTTGCATATAGGATGTGCATGGCTGTGCTTAGCTCTAACCTGGATACGTGGTACTGAATGGTATTGTGTCCTGCTGAGAATGTCTTGTACATTGCAGTGTTCTGAGTTTTTTGGAGGAGGGGTAAATATGTCTCAGGAAAGATGCATGATAGCATGTTGTTTTACTGTATCTTGCAGATTCAACCTCTAATGATGAAGCTTCCCACCTAAATTCTTTCTTTTTGGGAGCAGAAAGAAAGGAAGAAAATGAAGAGTCTGAGCTGTTGATACATTGGGATAATCTCTTTCCATTGTATTGAACATTTCTACCTTTCCTTAAGTTTTGTTTCACCAGTTCTGCTTATCATTTTCTTATTGTTGCTGATTCTCTCCCCTCTCCGCTGCCTCTCCCGTGGATCCTAATGTTGGTGTTTTTTCATTAATGAGTAGCCATCTTACACAGAGCAATGTGGGGTTTTTCTTCATAAAACATTTCAAGAAAAAGAAAATCAAATAACTGTAATTGCTGCATGATTTAAGAGTCTTAAAGCGTTAACTAAAAGTCAGGATTGTTGCGCAGAGATTTGTAATGTATGTGTATGTCTTGAATTTTTGTTTGTCTGTGGGATGTTTGCAATTGCCTCTTTTTTCCCGTTTGTGAAAGAAATTCCTCTTGCTGCTAGGTGGTGAAATAAAACATTAGTAAAGGCAGATTTGATGCTAACTACGCCTTCAATCTCTAAGCTATTTTAGAATGTGTTCCTGTTGGCCTATTTTGTAGCTATTTGCTTTACTGGAAGTGGTGTGAATAAGCATGCTGTGGTATGGTGCCTGAGGCTATAAAAATGAGTCTCTATAAAAATGAGTCTTGCAGTAACAGATGTTGATTAATGATGTTATTTGTAATCATTGTTCCTGCTAGAGGGCAGTGTGTGTAAGAGAGGCCCTGCCCTGTGCTGAGTAAAGATCTGTTCTGTGCAGCTCTTGTGTCCAAGTCTTCATTTATAACACATGCTTCTCCTCTGTTGTCAGCAGCACATTCTGAGTAGCATGATCAAGAGGGTCACATAGTTATAAAGAAAAAACAGTGGTTATATCATGTCTCTAAGCCTGCAGTCACAGCGCTGTGCAACCAGTGAACACTTTTCTGATCCTAGCTGTTTGTTTTGTTTTGTTTTTTTAATTATTTTCATTTCTCTGGTCTTGACCCAAAACCCTTCAAAATTCGGTGAAGTTTGGTCATTTATATGGGTTTTGGATCAGGTCTGTAAGTAGATCTCTTTCCCATCCTGTTCCATGTCAAGAATACAATTGGCATCTCTTCCTACCCTCCCTGGACAAATAAAACTCTGGATCAAAACCCTGAGTCCAACTTCAAGATTATTTTCTAGATCAGTAAGCTGACACCATGGAGCTGATGATGGGGCTGGTATTTCTGTTTACACTGATCATTCACAACTACTTGGTGTGCATGAATAAAAGAAGACTACTATTATTTTCCTTGTCACTGATGTTTGAGCAAATAAACACATCCAATATGCTTAAATTTTCCATTTGTTCCCATCACTTGTGAAGTTTCTGTTAATACCTTAGGGTACATAGAAGCACAGGTTGCAATATTAAAACTGACTGTTGGGCTACAAAGAACACTCTTGTGATTTTGTGGCCAGTACCCGAAGAAGAAAGAGCTGCCTTGCTGCTTCTATGCAATAGCACAATTTCTGCATGTGTTCAGGGTTGATTTCTTTTTAAGCTCTTGCTAGTTACAGTTTCCACACCCCACAGCATCCTCATGTCCTTCCATCCGAAACACAAGAACTGCTTCCCAGAGTGTGCTTCCCTCAGTGTGACTTTAATCATAAGCAGTGTTAATGTTAAAATTTACACAAGTACTACATTGATCTTGACCTAGAATTTCTCAGTAAGTGAACTGTGTATTTTTAGGCACTAATGCATCTGCACAGCGAGGAGATTACGGAAATGTCATCCTGTTGAGATGAGCAGACAAAAACAGTTGAGGATTGAGGATGTTATGAAGGCATTTTCTCTATATATCCTATTAATAGCAATGTGTTGTGATACACAATCCTATTTCTGTTGGAGTATGTAATGAAATGCCCCTTGTCTTAAGTGGGGTGGATCAGTGAGCCGTAGGATTTTGTTAAACTTAATTGCAAGCCTGATGTTTTGATACAATAGTCTTCTTTATTCTTTACTCTTTCTCTCTTTCTATAATTTGTAGCCTACATTGAAGATCTCACAAGATGTGTTGAGCAAAGCAGAAGACTCATTATCGTGTTAACTCCAGACTATATTCTCAGGAGAGGATGGAGTATTTTTGAGATGGAAAACAGACTCCATAACATGCTAGTCAGTGGAGAAATCAAAGTTATTTTGATTGAGTGTACTGAATTAAAAGGGAAAGTGAATTATCATGAAGTGGAATCTTTAAAGCACACCATCAAACTTCTCTCAGTGGTCAAGTGGAAAGGACCAAAAAGCAGCAAACTGAATTCTAAGTTTTGGAAGCGCCTAGTCTTTGAAATGCCAGGGAAGAAAAAGGAGGTGGTGTCTCGGCGTCAGGTCCTGGATTCTGCGGAGCAGGGCCTTTTTGGAGACCTCCAGACTGTACCCTCTCTTGCCGTCACAGGCACTTCTGCCACGCTGGTAGAGTCGCGGGCTGATCTAACTGATTGCCATCGAGCAGATTCTGTGCAAATGAGACATTATTGCAGAGGATACGAATATGATGTGTCAGCAGCAACATTGCCAATAGCTTCCATAAGCAACCATCATACATACTGTAACATACCTTTGACACTCCTAAATGGACAGCTACCTCTTAACAGTACCATGAAGGACTCCCAGGAGTTTCACAGGAACAACCCATTGCTACCTTTATCAGCAAGGGAGCTTAGCTTCACCAGTGATATTTGGTAGTGAAGATCAGGAGACTTTTGAGATGCTTCATGACTGCCATGAAGACACATTTTTAAAGAACTTTGCCCAAACCCCACGGGGCATCAAATCATATTTGAAGCAGCAGCACACTTATTTGCTTTTCTACTTGAACTTTTTTGTTTACATTTACAAATTACTGACAAAGAGGGCATTCTTTTGTAAGTCAGCAATGTCCTTCCTGTCTTTTAATGTACAGCTTGATTGCTTCTTTAAAAAAGGGGGAGAAAAAGCACATCCCGTCATTCTGCACTTAGGGATGGATAGCAGTTTGCTGTGTATGATCTCCAGCATCTGTATCTAAGTAACAGTATTTCAAATACACTGAAGTTGTTGGCTTTTTCGTGTGAACTTCAGTACAGTTTGAAATTCCAGTATCATATCATGCTACAGAAATTATCTCTGCACAGACCACGAGGGGTTAATCATTCAATAGGAAGGAGGAGGAACTCCTCCCAGTACCGTTGTCTCTCAGATGCATTTTAGAAGATGACGAGCTGAAACAATGCAGATGAAGCTTTATCAATAAAGTGCACAGTAACACTTCCTAAAGAATAAATCACCTGCTTGCATCAGCACCTCTTCATTTGTTTGTTGAGACATGTTGCATTCCCAGTGGCTGGTTAGCAATATGGTTTTGTTAAACAGCTTATTAGGGAAGGTGTTTGGCGGGATTTAAAACAACTTTTCTGTGATTAATAGATTATTTCAGACTTATTTTTGCAGGTTTTTAATGACATTTTTAGAACTGACTGAAGTATAAATTTGTCTGTCGGGGAATGCATTGATTTGAAATTTCCTAAGATCTCCCGAGCTGTGTTAAGGTTTGTAAAAAGGCAAAAACTTTACACGGTATTTTTTTCCTCCAAAATGAACAGTTAAAATTTCAAATTAACCTTTTTTTTTCTGAAAACATCAGCAATAGAAAATCATTCTGCAGCAATATTCAGAGATGAAGTGCTGAATTATCCAGGTTTACTAGTAAACTGACTTCAAATGCAGTGATAATCACCTGAGGCAGTTCTCTATCTACCTGACAATTTATGTCCTCTTAAAATATGACTGAAGCAGGAATATTTCCACTCTGTGCAACTGGTGAAAAGTGATATTTTTAAGAAGCTGGTAAAGTCTTGCATTTCTTCCATTTCTTCTGTACACACTCCCATCAGTCAAACGAGGACACTCTCATTTATCTTCCGTGGAAAGCACTGAATCTGAGTTTTGTTCAGACAAGTATGTTTCATAAGGATTTCCAGACCCAGCTGATCACAGGTTCCAGTCAGACCATGAAGACAGCCGTACTCATGGAAAAAGCTGTAATAACAAAGGCAGAAGCCTTTGGCACAGCTTCACTGAAAACACAGTAGGCATGAGAGTTTTGTCTCAGTAAGATCTGCTGCAGCAAGTCCCCAAAAATGTTTGTAAGGCAGGCAATCTCGCCTGTATTTCAATATGTTTTTTGCATTGTCCTCTTTGATTGCATGGATAAAAGTTAGCATTCTGCACTCAGCTGCCTGTGGTTCCATCAGCAAACAAGCTCAGTAAATCTTTAATGTTTAGTAGTGGTTCCTAAATTGTACCCTACGGTCAAAGTGAAAACAAACACTGACATAAGACTTAGAAGTATCCAGAATTGGCCCAAAGGCCATGAGAACGATCTCACACATGCAATAATTCATAGAGCTCGATACTTTTCCATTGCTTCTTTCCCCAGTACTTTATTCTGTGCCCTCTTACATCAGTTTTATCTGTAAACTTCTCCTTAGGTTCTAAAAAAATACATTTCTCCTGTTGCTTTTTCCAGTATTGTCATTATGCATTTGACACTAACACCACAACGGTTCTCTAGGAAAGATACTAATTTATTACACAGTGTAGGACTATAACTTGCTCTTTTGTGAAGTTAAGTTCGGAACATATTGATAGGTGTTTAATATACATATTTTTCTACTGAGAAAGAGAGTGATTTTACCTCCATTATAAATATATGTATCTCAACCTCCTCCCAGAAATCTATGAAATTTGCACTGTTTTATAAGTGTTACGGACTGTGTTTACACTGGCTGTGTCCTTTAATGCAAAATGTAATTTTGAAAAAGAACAAAAAAAAGTAAAGAAAACCCTGCATGAAGAGAGCTGCGTATGTTTAAATGAAAAGCTGTACTTTTCATTGTTTTCCTTTCCACTTTACTTTAGAATCCGGTTAATTCACATAGAATGTTCAGTGAGATTTCAAACCTACTAGTTCTGTATTAAGCATGCAAACTGCAAAAAAAAAAAGAAAAAGAAAAATCCACATACAGATTGGTCTGCTTCTTTTACTTACAATGATTAGATTTGGATAGCAAATTCATTTACTTGACAGCTTACTCTTAGGGCAGTATCTATTCAAAAGCAAAATGCAGTCATGTTTGTATTGAAGTAACATGAAAAGAACAGTTTTTCTGTCATTTTGCAAAGCACACTGTGTGTCCGTGTATCGATATATTTTAGTTATAGATGACAAGTCACAATCTGCTTTAAGATTTTAGAGTGTGTATTGAGTACGATGACAATATATACATGAATCAGAACTGCCTGTACCCCTCTGCTTTCAGTGCGGGGAAGGGACTTGAGCTCAGGAGGCCTCTGCTGTCTCAGCTTTGTGTAGCACTGCTGTGACGTGCCGGAGGTCAGACATCACTGTAGGTAGCGATGAAGGGCCTGGAAAAGTCCTGCCAAGCAGTGAAACGCATGTGTGAGTGGGACCTGGGTGGCACCGAGGCTGGGGGCCTTCCCAGTGTGCAGCCATGGGCGTCGTGCTGTAGCTGCCCTGCAGCTGGATCGGGGCCAGGGATGCCAAAACATTTTGCTCGTTCATACAAACTTCATTAGCTGAAGTAGAAGGGCTCTCTGCGTTCCTCTGTCTCACCAAAGCCTCGTACTTATTCAGCTGGAGATACTGGGGATGAAGCCAGGGCTCTCCCTTGGCAGTGCTTATGGCTGCATCCTGCTTACACGGCTGTGCAGCCCCTGCCACCCAGAGTGCCGTATGGCAACGTGTGTAGTGCCTGTATAACAGCCTGCAGGCCTCTATGGCAGCCTGTATAACAGACTGTAGGACTGTATGCAGCCTGTATGTCTGCATGACAACCCGTATGACAACCTGTACAACAGCCTGACAAGCTCACAGGCAGTAAAGATCCTTCCTGCAGCCATGCACAGCTTCTGATTTGGGGCACGTCCATCTCAAGTGCTTTGGTTGTAATGTTTCTTTGGATATTTACCTTTGTGTGTGATGTGCTTCAGAAGCAATTATGTTTTGAAGGTTGTATATAGAAATTGGATAGAAATTGAAAACCTATTCACTCTACAGATTTTACACTCCTAAAGAACATTCAGAGAGAGGGCAGGGTAATTTTGATGTTAGTAACAAGGCAGAGTGAAGATGGGCAGTTGTGGAGGGGGGTGTGGGAATGGGACTGCGTGCTTAGCCAGTGTTCTAGTAATCCTTTCTGTAGACACTGAATGAGAAAGCTGTATTAACATATTGCCATCTTCTGTCTGCAAAGCCTGCTGCAAAAACCCTCCAGTCTAACAAAAATAGTTCCATCAAATGCAGTAGACCTAGAGTAAAGCTATAAAGCCAAGCAGTACTTTTACTGTGTTCAGGGGAATAAAGAGAAGACCAAAGGGCCAGAAAGAAGTAAGTCTAGAGACTAATAAGCATTTGATTATTTACTCTGTCTTGAATCAAGCTTATTTTTGTCTCTGTTTGGTGCGGATGTGCTCCAGCACTGTCCAGCCTTGGGAAAGGAATTCTGTTCATTTCTTTGTTATAAACAAGATAAGGACTTGAGAATAAATAACAGATACTTTTAGAACAAAACCAATGTGGTTTTTAAGGACTTCTACTCCACTCTCAGCAGCTTCTTTTGATTCAACAGACTTAATTCATGCAAATTCATAAGGACATACTTAAATTCCCCTTAATTGGGTGAGAAATACTTTACTGCGTGGGGTTTAGAAGACTGGTTCGTAGACCAGTGCCTGAAATAAGGGTATTTAAGCACTTTAAGAATTATGCCCTTATGCAGATCCTCAGAGCAGCTTGTCTGATTTTGGTTCCTGCATAGATTTAAGTGCTGTGGCAGAGCAGCTGGCAAGTCTTGCCATCGTGGGTACAGGACAGGCAGTCCTTGGTGCTCACCAGCTTGGCAGTGACATTGCCCTGGAAGCTCAGTGCCAGAGTGGGGAGCAATGTCTCTTGTGTCCCACTGGGCCATCCGAGGGCTTTCCCTGTGACCTTGATGAGCAGCACAATGCAGGAAGCCTCTTCCTCCGTGCAGCATTTTGTGCATCTTGTCCCACTTGAAGGTTCGTGCTGGGGCCGCAGAGTTATTGGAAGGCAAAGAGAGTGCGGAGTGGGAAGAAAGGAGAGGAAGAAAAGAGTTGTCACAGAGTCCAAGTGTTTTGCAGGCAGAAATGCCGATTCAGCACAGCACAGTGACAACCCTTGCACGAACACTTCATGTTTGTCCACTATTCAGTGGTCGCTGGGCAAAGTTCCCCTGAACAATACCATTTTTTGCCAGCTCACTTGCTTTAGAACTCTTGTTTTGATCCTTTTAAAATTAAACTGTCGTTTCCCATCGGACAGAAAATTTTCGTGGCGTATTCCATACGCACACACAAAAAACCCCTTCTGTTTCATGTGTGTGGAAATTCCCCACAAAGTAGAAATCTGTGCTTCCTGCTGGTCCTGTGGGTTTGGAGCTCACACGCAGTGCCAACAGTGTGATGCCAACCTCTGGTAAGCAGCACAAGGGGCACAGGTTGTGCTGTGCCATGGCTCCTATCGCTGGGGAGTCTGTACTCCCAACATACAAAAGTACCATGCCCTGTGTCTTGAAAGTATTTAAGGGTTTTAAACTTCGTAAGCAACAGTGGCTCAAATTGTTCCTTTTTGACTCCAGTTAGCACAGCATATGTTAAAAATATGGGAATCTGAAATATGCTGTATGTTACAGGAGGAAATAAAAATTTGAAAATGGATAGTGAGGGCATGTCACATCTGGGGAAACACAGAGAACAATGTTGATTTGCACTTTCTTGTTGCTGAAATGTACTTTGCTTCCCTAAAGAAATGACATGATGTGTTTGGGGTGGTGAGTGGGGGACAGCTTTGCATTGCTTACGTTGCTCTCTGCAAAAAGACATTTCATCATTTCAGTGCTGCTGGAGAAATCCAGAGGCTAATAAGGCTGCTTCAGAGAGGCATGCAAGGTCTGACAGAAAGAACTATGAAGCAAAAGTTACCGAGCTTTGCCAGGATTGTTGTCATTTAAATCTAAAACAGCAGCACTGCCAATAGAAGCAGAACATGACCTGTCAGCATTTTTGCTTCATTACAATATCATTGCACAGCTATAGGCCAAGCAGAAAAACAAATAAATAATAAAAATACAGTTTGTCAAGCTGAGCCAGATTATTATGGTAGGTATTCCATAAACACCCTTTGTAATTCATTTTGATAGAGTGTAATAGGCTTTGCAAGATTTTAAGAGCTTTCTCTTCAGGACAAACACAAAGAGAAAACAACGTATTTTGTATTAGATGAGTTTCACTATTTCTTTCAATTCTGTAAAATAATTCCTTTTTACAAAGCAGTGAGTGATAAATATTTTCCTGGCTGCAAGTGGATGGCCAAAGCGTGAGCTGAATCCACCAGAAGGAAAGGGCCAACAGGGCTGCAGTTCAGTGGGGTAGCCAGTAGCCACCGCGCTCACGCGTGACAGCTGGGCTCAGGTGTTGGCTGTTGGCTGCTGATGTGCTGGCTGATGACTAGAGAATAACACACGAGTAAAGACTGTGCTATATGGAGGGATTTACAAAGTCTCTTGTGACCTCTTTTAGTGGAGCAGTGTAGGCACGGCAAGGTGAAAGTAAGAGTTGTCAGAGGGAGAACCTTGCTTCTCATTTCTATTTAAATTCAAATTATTTGAGATTCTGATCATGGCTCTGGGATTTATGTGGAGGAGAGCACTAACAGTTCTCATGCTGGTAGTGTCAGGGGCTTTGTCTTTACTACTAAGACATTTTCCTGAGAAATCCAGACCCTGACATAGCCTAGACTTAATGTAAATTTGCCTCTTATGAGAGAACTCGAGAAGAGAAGCTCTAATGAGATGTGAAGAAGCTTTTAAAGTACAGTGTACTCTGATCGGTATGTGTATATGGCTTAAAGGTAACTTCTGCCAGCACATAGGAGGGAGCACTGAATACCTACACCCCAGATAGCATTAGTCTGAATTCCTTGTAGACTGTGCAGAGAAAATTAGCATCTACTCCACAAATAAAAACAACTTTCAAAGCCCTTAACAGCTCCTTGATTAAAAGATATCAAAGGCTTTATGATCATGAATCAATCTAACACCTAACTGGGCTAGGGAAATCTTTTCATCCTCTCTTTAGGAAATGAAAAACAGGGTCAGGATCCATTTTGTCCAAGATCCAAACAAAAGCCATAGGCAGAGGTGGGGTCATGCTCCATCACCCAGTCCCAAGCTCTGCACATTCCCTGGACAAGGTTGGTGATTAGACTGCGAATTGCCCCAGCCTGGCTCGGGGGCCACATCTTCTCTCAACCAAAAGAAAAGATTATTCCAGTCTGCGTGAGCAGCCTCCAAATGTCCTGTACGTGGGTTGCACGTTTTGGAGAACACAGAAGGGCTCTCCCGGAGCTGAGTGGGACGCTTCCTTTGGGATCAGCAGCTCACTGCAGAGAGATGACAAGACAGAAGCTAATCACTGGCAACAAAGTGGTTTTGGAAGAACACAGGCTGACGAGAAGATGAGATGACAGGAAATCTCTGTTGTAGCAAATTATTGGCAAACGGAGATGGTGGGGAAAAAATGGAACTGACAGATAATTTATACCTAACAACCAGCCTGAACCCAGCTCAAAGCTCTGGCTCCTCACTGCCAATCTCAGGGAAAATCTGAACAGAGTTCAAACTTTATTGCTGACACCCATCAACGTAATGAACAGAGTCAGCATCTGTGATACGGTACTGCCAGCCTGAGGGGAAGGCTTCAGTCCAGGGCCAGAAGCTTTCAGTCACCCTTCTGTACAATTTCTGCTTACAAAATGCTTACACCAGCACAGGTATGGGTATGTCTGGGCCCACGGCTCAAAGCAGCACTCACTGTTGAAGTTGTGTGCGTGGAAGATCAGACACGGGTGGGAATGCACTTCAGTGGTAACTGCAGCATGCTCTGAGGCACACAGATGTCTCAAGGGTTGTGCGAGTTCTGCGTCCAGACCTGGGGCCCCCAGCACAAGAAGGACTGGAGTTCTTGGAGTGAGTCCAGAGGAGGGCACTGAGGTGATCAGAGGGCTGGAGCAGCTCTCCTATGAGGAAGGGTTGAGGGAACTGGGCTTGTTTGGCTTGGAGAAGAGAAGACTGCGGGGAGTCCTCATTGTGGCCTTCCAGCACTTGAAGGGAGTTTATAAACAGGAAGGAAAATGACTGTTAACAAGTGTGGATAGTGACAGGACAAGGGGGAATGGTTTTAAACTGAGACAGGTTTAGGTTAGATATTGGGAGGAAGTTTGTCACACAGGGAGGTGAGGCACTGGAACAGGTTGCCCAAGCAGGCTGTGGATGCCCCATCCCTGGAGGCATTCAAGGCCAGGCTGGACGTGGCTCTGGGCAGCCTGGTCTGCTGGTTGGCGACCCTGCACACAGCAGGGAG